AGCTAACAACCAACAAGAGCAGAGGCATGCAGGCCTCTATTTATACCCCGGATCCCCGGGCAATTCCAACCAATAGCAGGCAGTCTTTTCCCACCTTGCGCATGCGCGCAAGGCCGGCGCCGCTCAGTCTGGTCCCGGGCAGCTTTTGCAAATGCCCGGGACTCTTGCATTGTCCCGAGCCTGCTTCTGCAGGCTCAGGACACAACAAAGGGTACTTGAGTAAAAGTTTCATAAAAACTCTGAGTTCTGAAGAAAGAGAACATGTATTATTTACAATGCCCAGTGTATTGCCTTGGCCCTGTAAAGCTTCTTATGGAACTAAATGTATGGGGAAGCTGTAGCCACTACCTCCTAAAAAGAATGCTACACTAAGAGACAACAGCCCCCTTTGTTCTAGTTTGTTAAAATACAACTAAACAAAGAAATGATGCCCATCAGTCAATTGCAAAAGGCAGCTTTACTTGGGATAGCTTATATCCTCTAACAATAGCTTTAACACTATGAAACAAACATCTGCCTATCCCAGGTCCTTGGGAAGGTGGACAAAAATATCAAATCCAGTCTAAACATCTCAATGACTGCAATAAACAACAACAACAACAATAACAATAACAACAATAATAATATCAGGAGTGATGAAGAAAAAATGGAAGTCTTTATTTGCAAGCTAATTGCATGAAATGTACAATATTGTCAAGACTGAGTTGCCAAAATTACTGGAAACTTTGCCAGAGGTTTCAGTTTAAATGCAGCAAGACTCCCTGGGACCCTCAAGTTGAGAAGCTTTTGGAAAAGGAGCAGGTTAAAATCTTACAGGACTTTCAAATCCAAACAGGTGGACACCTTATTCTTAACATTTCTGATATAATAGTAATTGAAAAATGTAAGTCTGGAGCACTGATGATGTTATACTGGATGCTGCTAGGATTGAGGAAAAGCAGCCAGAAAAAAGAAAAGAAAAACAAGAATTTACAAATTGAAGTTGAACACCTATGGAAAAGAAGTTTATCTAAGCAGCTGTTTGTGTGTAAATATGACACAAACCTGTTCTGGCAATGTTTTTCCAGGCATATGTCACAAACCACTTCTGAAAATGCCCTCTAGAAACCTGCATGGACTTAACCCATGTAGCCACCAGGATACAAATCTGATTCCAAGGAAAAATATACTATTATATTCAAGATATTGCCTTCATCTCATTCCAACCCATGCATGAGGCTATCTGAAATATTCCTTCCCCTCTTCAGTCTTTAAATGGTATTTTGTCCTTAATCTGATATCAAGTCATGACAGATTGAAAGCATGTAAAATGTGAAGTGTATGAAAATTGTAGGAATGTGAATTTCAGTACCAATACCAGAATAACAGAGTTGGAAGGGACCTTGAAAGTCTTCTAGTCCAACCCCCTGCTCAAGCAGAATACCCTAGACAAATGGTTATCAAACCTCCAGTGATGGAGCACCCACAACTTCTGGAGGGAAATCATTCCACTAATTAATTGTTCTAACTGTCAGGAATTTTCTCCTTAGTTCTAGGTTGGTTCTCTCCTTGATTATTTTTCTTACAACAATATAGAAATGGGTATAGGAAAATGTAATTTTATGCTAGAAGAGACTATTGTGTATGCTTATGTAGAACACAAAACCTATTCAAGTCCAACCTACAAGTAATATTTCATATTTTTTCTACAGATGCCATTGTTGGTGCCCTTAGTGTCAAATGTTGTGTAGAAGTAAAACGACAATGTTATGTTGGTGGATGTCTTGCTGAACATTTTTCAGCAGATGTATACCTTTTAATATTGTGTGCTTTCATTGAAGACAATGAGATTTTAGGTAAAGTAAGCTTCCAGGTCACTACAACATCCCAAGTTGGACATACTGTATGTTGCATGACTATCTACACTCTGCTCAGTTTGTGCTGTATTAGTAACAATTTTCTGGTTGCAACCTAAGAGATTTCTGCAGTTTGCAATTCACATCGCAAGAATTAATAATGCTCAGATGACATAGCTTGATTTTCTTATCCAGATTCTTTTCTTCCCGGTGTCTCTTCCCTTCAAGAATACAGAAACTGCAGCCAATTTGCAGCCATAAACATTTTATATTGTTTCACTGCTGTAATTCTTTTCTTCTTCCATGCTGCTAAGAGTGATTCAATAATATACTGTACAAAGAACATCTTGTTGTCATAAATATTTTGATGAGAATACTATATTAATATTTAGCCGAACCACTAGTTTAAAAAGATCATAAGCTCTGCATGGATTTAAGCTTGGAAAAGCATTTTAGTAGATTGGCTCATATATTAGAGGCAAAGTAACAGTTGGAGAAATATTCGGCTTGCATTTATTGTATGTACTTTTATGCTGTACCTTTAATCATATTTCTATACATAATATTTTCTATATGTAAATTTTATGCTGTTAAAATAAGCCTTCATTTTTTAAAAGCATCATAAAAAACCTTATAACCATATAATAGAAAGAAAAACACATGCTTAAAAACTGAATTTGTATTTGCCTAGTTTGTAAAGAATAATAGTATATTGAAACCAAGAACTTTCAAAGTATCTTCTCCACTGGCTATTCTTTACTCTGGTATCTATCTGTCTTCCTGAAAAATTGGGCTTGGATTTTATTTGTGTAAGAAAAATTAGTCTGGTCAGATAGTTCCCCCTTTATCCTGATGTATACCAATTTCATTGTAACATTTATCATATGTGAAGCAGGAAAGTCAAAGTAAAACTATGCTTTGAAAGGAATCCCAGGACTGCTAATAGCTAGGCATGACCGCACTATATAATTTTTTTGTCTGGCTGTTTCTCCCACAATACTTTAGGTGAAAGCAAAATACACTGGTCTCAGTCTTGCTGGCTTCAGAAAAGCTTGTATAAGGTATCTTTTTAAGGACATCTCTGCTGGAATCCGGAAAGGATAAGTCCCCATTAAAAAAAATCTGTCCATCATTTCCTGATATTATTTTATTATTTCAATAAAATTTATGATTTATGGACCAATGGAAGGTATCCCATTTGCCTTGTCAATTAGATTTAAATTAGTACCTCATCTTCAACTAAATGGGTTTGTAGAAGAATGTTGATTTCCCCCCACCCCCAGAAGATGGCAATCTATAGATTTAACTGAAGTTGAGAGAGAAAATAATTCCATTTTAGTCTTTAAAGTAGAAATATGACATACCACCATCATCTTTGCTTTATTAAAATATTGGGAATATTACTCCCTATTTAACAGGCAGAATTTTAATTTGATCTGGTAGGTATATTTTATGAGAAATTTTAGCAATGCATAGATCAGATAAGGTTGATATAGCATGTTAATGTAGTTTTACATATTTATATGGAATTATTTAATTATTTTCCTGCTATTGTTGAAATAAAAATTGTCATGGGCAGCTGAAATCTTACAAAAGATGATTCTGAGCATGCTTTTGCTATTAGAGTTATTTTATAGTACACTCTGTTAAATTTCCTTTTTTTGGTATTGGGATGCAGATTGACCTCTTCCAACCAGTTGGCCATTGTGTCCTTGTCTAGTTTTGCTGGCATGGTTTGGTTAGAAACTTTAGTGATTCTTCTTCTGTTGCTTGCCATATTTCGGTATTCCATCAGTTCCTGTAGTTTCACAATATGTTCTGAAATGTATAGAGGCATCATTTTGGTTGTTTGAAGAAATCATTGGAGAGGTTAAATTGATTTCCTGCTTTATTTCAGTTTCCTAAGTTATAAAATAAATTCCATTTTCCTCTTTAATGTTTTCAATTTTCACATTCCAGTTCCAATTACAGGCAACTCATCTTGCTTGCATGTTCTTCTGTTTCAAACTGAATTGAGCATAAAACTCATCAGCCTCCTCTTCTTCTGCATTGGTGGCTAGAGTAAAAACTTGAAAGATTATCATATTAAAGAGTTATCCACAAAGTCTCATTAACATTCTTTTGATTGTAGCCAAGCACTGTTCTTGTTTTCAGTTTCCTAGCTATAAAAGTAACACCACTTCTGCTTTGTTTTTCATGTCCTGAGTAAAAAGCAGAGTAATGTTTTGATCAAAATTGTCCAATTCCAGTCCATCTCAGTTCCTTGATGTCTAAGATGTCTATTTATAGTCATTTCATTTCATCTTTCATTGTGTTGTACTTTCCTTTGTTCATGCTTCTTATGTTACACATTATTTACTGTAATTCTGGATTTTCTTTGCTGTATGGCAATATCAGGATCAAGATGCCCCAAAAGCTTTAATTGAGTCATGTTATAAACACCATTTACTCTAAAAGATCCTCAGTAGTATGTTGAGTACCATCTGAGGAGCCTTCAGTCTAGTATTATATAACACACAACACACCTTTTTCTTCCTACTTTCCCCACATCAAGAATTCTGTGAGGTGAATTGGGCCGAGAGAAAGTGACTGGCCCGAAGTCACCCATCTGGCTTTCATGGCTAAGGCCAGTATTGTTACTAAAGTGGTGTAGGAGAAGGAGTGGTAAAACCTGGTGGCAGAGTTAAAAGAGGAATCCCTATGTAGCCACAAGTGAACTCAGTCTAACCCTTGTTGAATTCCATTGACCCTCATTTAACTTCAAGCAGGAGCTAACTGTTAGTTGAAAGGTTTTCCATGCAGAGGCATGATTAGCAATAAATCGGTTTAATTGGACTTTCATACATGGGCCTGATCTTTCATGCCTGGCAAGTGATCTTCAGAGCTGTGTAGCTGGGTGACCTTCATGCCTTGGGTAACCCTGCTGGGAATATACACTCTTGACATACACTCCTGGTATTCTTTGCTCATCTCGCCCAGGAATACTGCCCACTATGATGAGGCAGCACAGCAGAACCTGGGGGGCATCTAACATGGTTATTACATTCTTACCCAGATATAGTCCATCATATTTTTTAGAATGCATGGATTTCTCTTGAGGAATAGTTCCTGAAAGTGTGAAAAAAAAGGATCGGCAGAAAGAATGGGGAACTGAAGCATGACCATGAAGTATGGAAAGTATCAGTTTTAATGCATACCAGTTTCAGCATTTGACAACAGTTTTTTTTATCAGCAACTCATAAGAACCAACATTTTGGGGAATTAAATTAATCTTTAAAGGCTCCATCCACTGTTAGAGGATACTCAGATGTTTTTACTTAGCAGGAACTGAAAAAATAATGTAGAAGAAAATTAGTTGTAATAACCATAGTCATATTGGTAATATAAAGCCAGCAGATTCTGATAATAATTTAAATAACAATATAGGATAGGCATAAATAAAGCCGACAAGGGCAAGATAAAAGCTTGGGAAGCATCTGGTCGACATGAGCAGCCATTTTTTTTTTATAGCTGCCACTATGGGAATAATAAAATACTGGTAATTGATATCATGGTTAATGAGAAATGTAGGGAGAAAAGGAAGCAAGGAAGAAAGGAGGAAGAGAGAGGGAAGGAAGGAAGGGTGATAGAAACAAAGAGGGAGGGAAGGAAGGTGGGAGGGAAGGAGAAAAAGAGAATGAAAAAGAAATGAAGGAAAGAAAGAAAAGAGGAAGGAAGGAAGGAAGGAAGGAAGGAAGGAAGGAAGGAAGGAAGGAAGGAAGGAAGGAAGGAAGGAAGGAAGGAAGAAATTATTTTCAATGGTCCCTGTCAGTTTCACCCAAAGAAACTCCTCAGTGTGGAAGCTGATAAAAGTCACTCCTGCTTCCACTGTTCTTTTGCATGACTGTGGTCATTCTGTTTCTCTCTTTAGGTAAGGAAATATTGATGACCCTGCAGCACAGATTATCTAGTGTTATAATTATTACCCTGAACATTAGTATATACAATACTAATCAGAACTAAGGAAGAAAAATATCTATGTTTAATTTGAGCAACACCAACTTACAAGAATTTATGTCACACCAGTTTATTTGGCTGCCTCGGTTTCATCATAAAATATTTGTGAAGTTGTTGTTTTAGGAAAAAAACTTTCAGCAGGTGAAGTTGCATATTCACACTCTGGAATCCAACTTTCTCTGTATATTAGAAAAGGAATAAATTATTTCAAGTTGAAAATTATTTTGTAGGTATAAAGGACTAGGTAAAGTAGTCCTTGCGGATTGTACTCCGCTAATAGTTGCTGAATATAGGGGGTAGTGCTCATCTCCAATTCAAGGCCATTGAGCCAGCGTTGACATTTCCATGGTCATGTGGCAAGAATGATGTCACAGAGCGCTGTTAGCTTCCAGCCAAAGTGGTACCAATTTATCAACTTATCTATTTATTTACTCGCAGTTGTATGCTTTTGAACTGCTAGGTTGACAGGACGCCAGGGGCAAGGATGCCAGCTCCCTACTCAGGTCTCACACTTGGGCTGCTGGCTTTCCAGCCAACAAGCCCAGCATCTTAACTGCTGCCCATAAAGGATTAGGATATATGTTAATTAAATGTATAATTGATAGTTGTTTGATTGTAGGTTGATTTACATGAGTGGATTTTTTTTAATTGCCATGAAATTAAGGGGAAAATAAAAGGTTAAGGATTCTGCAATGGATGCCTTTGAAGACCTCTTTTTTTTAAAGAGCATTTAGCCATTTGATCTGAATACTATACATGTTATCATATACCTTTGCTAAAATAGCATATAGTCTACAAAGAGAAAATTACAAGGACGATCTCTTGTACCTTATTGAATTTTACAGGGTAGAACAAGTAATATTCCATTATGCCCACTAATGTGCTAGACAGTGATCTGTCGTGTCCCTATTGTGTCTAAGACTAAGAAAGCAGGAAAAGCACAGATTTCAATGATATGTCTTTAATGCTAATCTGGAGTAAATGCAGTATGTAGACAATTAATAGTAATTTGCTAGGTGTATTATAGTGTGTAAATTAATATGGATCTCTTTTATTGCTACATGTGCAATATTGATGCCTGAATTGAAATAACCATAAATTCAAAACATAGTCTAAAATTGAGATTGGAAAGTGTAAATGCAAAATACCAAATAACAATTTTGTTTGATCCATAAGATCTGTGTTCTGTACCCTGGGAAAACTGACTTACTTGGCACAGCACTGGAAGTCAAATTCACACTGTCCATATGAAAAAAAACAGTCAGGGCAGGGTAGGTCGTTTGGGGAACAGAAACCATCAAAACGATATTGACAATCAAGTTGACCTCCAGCAGGATCTACATGAAAAATTAAATATATATATTTAAAACTCCCTTGTGCATTATATATAAATACAAATATATAAAAATATCTCACATATAACACATTGGTAAGCATGATTCTGGATGAAATATCTAAGAAATATCTACAGAAATAACCTATATCTACAGCAACAACCAGTGTATTGTATTGACTCTTCCTTTGTGTATGTTCCCTGCATATGTATGTGTGTGAGATTATCTTCCCATTGAAAATTAAAAATGTATTATTGATGATTTACATTATTATTTTCAAGGGAAATATTTGTAGCTCAGGGTTGATATGAGGGACCCCTTGGTGCTTTCTGAGTTTGGTTTTTTTCTTGCCGACATTTCATTACTCACATGTGGTAACATCATCAATGCTAGTATTAGCACTAATGATGGGTAATGAAACATTTGCAAAAAAACAACCAAGCTCAGAGGGCACCAAGGACCCCCCAATTATTATATTATTTGAATTTATTAGCTGTCCAACTCCAATGGAATGTTATGGTATGTGGGAATGACCTTAGAGGTGCAGCAAATCTCAGAAGAGAGACCCTCCCTAGTATCTTGGACTGTAAAGACTATGGGTGGGTGAGACTTGTAAGATTCTTTTTGTTGTGTCCTGAGCCTGCAAGAGGCAGGCTCAGGACATTGAAAGAGTCCCGGGCATTTGCAGAAGCAGCCCGGGAACAGACTGAGCGGCGCCGGCCTTGTGCGCATGTGCAAGGCGGGAAAAGACCGCCTCATGATTGGTTGAACTTGCCCGGGGATCAGAAGGTATAAATAGAGGCCTGCGTGCCTCTGCTCGGGTTGTTCGTAGAATGGAAGCAGAGAATAAAGACTTGTTAGAAATGCTTCATCTCAAGCGCCATTATTCTCCGGACTTAACACTGGCGACGAAGGTGGGATTCAGTCTCTACAGCTAGGAAAGCTAGAAGACTCACCCAAAGAAGTCCAGAAGAGAAACGGCATGGAAGTCAGCATTATCCTGCCAGTATGAAATCGCTGGAGGGTGCATGCGGCTGAAGAAGAAGAAAACCTTATCCTCGATCATGGCGAAAGTTGGGCGTTTAGCGGAATTCAACGTCTCTCACCCCGAGAGGTGGGAATCTTATGTGGCAAGAGTCGAGACGTATTTCCGCATAAACCAGATTCGAGAGGAAGGCTTAAAGGCTGCCACATTGTTGTGTGTTCATGGGCAAGAAGCCTTTGAGATCGCCGAGAGCTTAATCGCCCCGGACTCACTGGAAACGGTATCATACTCCGACCTGAAGAAAACTTTAAAGGAACACTTCCAGCCCAAGCAATCTGTCATGGCTTGGAGACACACATTTCAACAGAGAGATCAGCGAGTTGGAGAATCAGCAAAAGAATACGTTGCGGCCTTCAGAAGAGCAGCTAAACCGTGCGACTTCAAGGACTTAGAGGAAAGACTGCGCGATCGTTTTGTGTGTGGACTGAGGAACACAGAATTACAGCAGAGACTGTTCGCCAGGGAAGATGTCTCCTTCCAAGATGCTCTGCGAGAGGTTTTGGCTGAAGAAGCTGCAGGCGGGGCGGTCAAGAACATGTGGCCTAAGCGAAACATTCCAGAGACTGCCACTATTCACAAGGAAGACGTGCGCGAGGATTCGGACGAAGATTCTGAAGAAGAGGTGGACAAGCTTTACCAAGCAGCTGGGAGAAGGTCCAAGGATCGTCAGGACAAGGGCCCAGCTGAGCTTCGTTGCCTCGGATGTGGTGGACGCCACAAGCGAGCGGAATGTCGGTTCCGTTCCGCCATTTGTAGAGCGTGCGGAAAGAAGGGCCACATCGCTGCGGTCTGCCTGGGTCAACAGAAGGTACAACCGAAGGAAGAATTGAATCTGAAAGGTACCAGGGTGCCCAGCCAAAACAGGGTGGGGTTCTGTGCAACACGCCGGAACATTTTAAGAATAGGCACACAAAAACCTCTTAAAAAGAAGCTAACACTTAAAGTGAAATTGCAGGGAATTCCATTATCGATGGAACTTGACACGGGGTCTGCCTTATCCATAATTTCCCTCAACACATTTCACAAAATTTGCAGCAGCAGTGGCCAGAGAGTTTCGTTAAGGCCCTCTAATGTAATCCTTACGGATTTCCAAAATTCTCAAGTGTGCGTTAAGGGGGAGGCCACCCTTAAGGTACAGTACAAGAATTTTGCAGGCCCCCTAGACGTGTTAGTTGTGGGGGGTGAGCGAACGAGTCTCATTGGACTCAATTGGTTTGAGGCCTTGGGAATTCAGGTAACTGGGCTAAATAAATTGCAAACACAGACCCTTGCAGACGTATGCAAGGAGTTTGCAGATGTGTTCAGTTCTGAACTAGGGTCCTACACAGGACCTCTTGTTTCACTTAAGTTGGATCCAACGGTACAGCCCATCAGGGTTAAGCCTAGGAGGGTACCATTTGCTCTTAAGAGCAAGATTGACGCTGAACTGGACAAGTTGCTCCAGCAAGGCATTCTAGAGCCTGTAGATTCCAGCCCGTGGGAAACCCCCATTGTAACGCCTTTAAAGGCAAATGGGGACATCCGGATTTATGCTGACTACAAGTGCACACTAAACAAGGCCCTACAGCAACATGCTTATCCTGTGCCTGTAGTGAGCCACATTCTGGCTTCCCTTAAGGAGGGAATTTTTTTTGCTAAGCTTGATCTGGCTCAGGCATATCAACAGCTGCCTGTTGATGATGCTGCAGCTGAGGCCCAAACTATTGTCACCCATCGTGGGGCTTTCAAGGTGAAGAGGTTACAGTTTGGGGTGAATGTCGCTCCTGGCATTTTTCAGAGTGTAATGGAAAACACCTTGAGGGGTATTCCTGGTGTATGTCCTTATTTTGATGATGTTCTCATCGCAGGAGACTCTCCACAAGTGCTGGCTGAGCGGTTAAAGGCTGTTTTGCTTCGTTTCCGGAGAGCAGGTCTTAAACTAAAACAGGACAAATGTAAGATTGGTGTACAATCCACTGAGTTCCTAGGTTTCAAGATGCGCAGGGTATCCACCCATCTGATGCTAAGCTCAAAGCTATTCAGAAGGCTCCAAGCCCCAAGTCTAAGGGCGAATTGCAAGCCTTTTTGGGTTTATTGAATTTCTATCATGCTTTTCTACCTCACAAAGCTGCTATTGCTGAACCTTTGCACAGACTTCTTGACAAGAATGCGTGTTGGCGCTGGACCAAGGTCCATGAGGCCAGTTTCAATGAGGTCAAAGCTTTGCTTACATCCAATGCGGTGTTGGCTCATTTTAATGAGTAGTTGCCAGTGTGCCTGGCTTGTGATGCCTCACCCTACGGTGTGGGCGCTGTTCTTAGCCATTTGAGGCCGGTGGGACTCAGGTCCCTGTGGCTTACTACTCTAGGACCTTATCTGCTGCTGAGCGCAACTATGCTCAAATTGACAGGGAGGCTTTGGCTCTGGTGGCTGGCATTAAAAAGTTCCATGACTTTATCTATGGCCGCCATTTTACAGTCTTCACTGACCACAAGCCTTTGCTGGGGCTATTCACTACCTCCAAACAAACTCCTCATATCCTATCCCCTCGTATGCTGCGTTGGTCCATCTTCCTCTCAGCTTATGACTATTCACTGGTCCATAAGCCTGGCAAGGAAATGGGTCATGCAGATGCTTTAAGTAGGCTGCCATTACCTACTGTGGA